GACAGAAAAGAAATTCTGGGTGTTTTGCCGCGAGACCTTATTTAACACAATCAGTATAAAACCTGCCAGCATGGAGTCAACGGTAGAGTTAGTCCTCAGCCTGACGTAACCAAGGGACGAAACGAAGAACCTTATTGGACATAGGGTGTTATCCCTCTTCATGGCTAATTGGTCATGCAGCGTGCTCTTCAAGGTCAGATGTGATGTTCGTAAGCAACTTAGTGCCGACAATGATCTCTTTTATTGGCTGCGGTCAAAGGGCATTCAATGGTCTATAGGACGGGACAGAATACATTCAGAAAACCAAAACCTTATTGGAGGATCATTTATCAACTTCCCATGCAAAAATGGAACCCATAAGAATGCTGGCACGTGAGATCAGCACGAAGCTGTTGTAAGTTAAGCACTCACAAGTAACATCGCCGATCGACCGACACTGAAGGAGAGCTCAAGAAACGGCCCTGGCCTGATTCTATGGTCTTCTCAAAGTGCACAATGACAGCGCTCTTCTCCGGCCAAACACCACTCAAATAAACTCCAACCTACAGACTAGCAAAGTGGCTGTTTCGACGGTTACCAATTTGGACCACTGATTCAGATACCACGGTCAGGTCGTCAAAGCAATTCTTCGAGAAACTCAGAAGGGTAGGCCCCCTGCCAAACGGCGTCATGATATTTTGGACGACTGTTCCCTTTTTACCTCTATTCCGTAGGGAATGACAGTTAACACAATTGAATTACCTCTAAGAGGCAAATAGGATGAAACCAAGAGGTGTCCTGGAACTTCTAAATCCTTTATTTCTTGACGTACTGTCTCAAAATGTACTGTTCGTTTGAAGTAGTACGCCAAAATTGGATTCCCTGGTTTTTCCCACAACACAGACCGGAATGTGGGTTCGGTATGTTGATGACACTTTCGTCGTCATCGAACAAGATTAAATGTTCAAGCTCGAAAAACGTATTAACGGGGTTTTTACAGAGGTTCAATGTATAATAGATGG